TTTAGCTGCTGCATCACACTCTTGACTCATGTTCAACTTGTGGTCTGCTAGGACTCCTAGATCTCTTTCACACATAGTCGCGTTAAGCCAGGTGTCCCCCATCCTATATCTATGCATTTCATTTTTTCTCCCTGTTGAAATTCATTTTGTTAGTTTTGTCCCAGTAATTTGTAGTTTGTTGAAGCGCTAGAGTTATCTGGCTGAGAATTCTAAATGTTTCTCCCTAAACATTCTCCCTCATGTTTCTCCCATGAGGAATCTCATGGATGCAGCCATGGCAGTTAAAGTGGAATCATAAAGAGCCTTCCACTCAATCCAAATGATATCAGCACTTACTCAGTAGCACTCATGTAGCAAAATCAGGGAAGAAGACGTTGTATGCAAAATATATGTTTGCATGTATGTACACACACAAGTACACATAAGTGGATTAGATCAATAATTAGGGCTAGCAGCTCTACCGTTAGGAAGAATGAAGTGGCTACTTCAGGCACTAGAAGTGATCAAGGGTGTTCAAAGTGCAGCCCATGTGCTGCGTTCACCTCTTGAAACCATATTTGCAAGCTCACAGTCATTCTGGATCTCCCTGAAGCACCCCTCTATCAAAAATATTTTTGGGAAAAAGAAAGAGTTTGATGTGGGAAAACAAACTGAGGCTCAGTCCAGAAGTGCTGTTGGTCAGTACAAAAGCTAAACTGGGGTTGGGATCACAGCCTGTTCTGGATGGGGCTGCACTTCCTATGAGAAATCAAGTCCATAGCCTGAGATGCTCTCGGATTTAATGTTGGAAAGCCAAGTGGATGCTGTGGCCAGAAATTCCTTTGTCCTATTTCAGTTGGTATGCCAACTGTGAAATTTCCTAGCAAGCTTGGATCTGGCCAGAACAGCAATGTCACTGGGAGGTGTAGACTGCACCAGGTGATACCCTAAAGGGGGAGTAACACCGCACATTCACATTCAGTGATATATGGGAATTATGATTTATGAGTAATATTAGTATAAAAAAACATTATTAAGGACTATGTATGGTGTGATAAGGGAGGAGGTCAGTGAGGGGGTGTGACACCATGAGTTACCACTCTGGTTGACTCCAACTCTAGTGATGCTACTAGGCCACAGTAATTCATACCTTAATTACCTCCTGATTTGTGTAGTGTAACATGCTCTATGTGGGACTGCCCTTAGAAAGTGTTTGGAAGCTAGCATGAGTTGTAGCAGCCCAGCTGTTACCAGGTGTGCATTGTAGAGACCACATAACACCCAGTCTACAAAAACTGCAGTGGCTTTTTGTTTGCTTCCAAGCCCAATACAAGGTGCTTGTCCTGAACTATAAAAAAAAGTTTGGGACCTGGAGATCTGGAAGACCATCTCCTTCCACACAAGTCTTCAAGAAATCTAAGATTATCAGCAACGCTTCTATTACGTGTCCCATCACCCTGTGAGGCTAGGCTGGTGGGTACATGTGACAGGACATCCCCACTGTGACAGTCCCTGAGCATTTATCTATTGTGAGTTTCAGGCAGCCAGTGAAGACTGTGTTATTTTGGTTGGCCTTTAGATCTTAAAATTATGGGCATTTGCCCAGGCTGTTTTAAAAACTGTTTTAGAGCTATTTTTTAAAGAGAAGGCTCAAGTATTTTAATTATCTATTTAATATTGTAAGAATATTTTTACCTATTGTGCATTGCCCCAGGGGCCCTGGTGGGTTGAGCGGCAATAACTAGATGCCTTAAATAAATAATTAAGCCCTCATATCACAATACCTATTCCCCAAACCCAACAATTAAACTGAAAGTGGACATCCCATCCACTTTCAGTTTCATATTTCTTTTTGCATATTTTGTGCATTCTTGGTGATGATGGGAACCCCAACAGGTCCTTGAGGCCCCCAAAAATGGTCCTTGGACTCACTGAGGTTGCCTACTCCTGCATTAGATCAACAGTGGGTAACCTGATGTGAATTCCAATCCCCATCAGTTCCAGCCACCATGGCCAATGACTAGAGATTAGATGGTGGTGGGCTGTAAATTTAACATTTGGAGGATATCAGCTGGCCAACTCTGTGATAGATGCTGGGTTGTAGAGAAAGTCTGCAATATGGTGAAGGATTGAGTTTGGGAGCCATGTGATCTGTCTTACCAAAACTAACCTGTTGCTCTTAAGTATGTCGGAAAGCACTGTCTCTGGTGTTGAAATAGATTTAAATTGCCCAGTATGATTACTTCTGTATTTAGACCTGGGATAGCCAACACTGTGTCCCTTGCCTCAGGCAACCAAATTCCTTATACACAACATACTCTCTTCACCCAAGTCCATCCCTGAAACAAGAGAATATTTTTTAAAATAACACAGTTTATTTTTTCCACTTCTTACTGGTAATCTGTTTCATAATATCCAAAAATATTTCTTCCTTTGCTGCTTGACAAAGCCCTTGATATCTAGGCCAAATAAATATGTGTGATTGAACTAACAGCTTCAATGTTTAAATATAGCTAGATGACTAAATGTATGCTCTTATTATAGTTGTTATTTTTATCTTGTTACTACTTATATTATTTATTTATAATAGTATTTTTATAATTTTATTTTATCGAGTTTAGGACTCAAGGTGGTTTACAACAGTTAAAACTACCATCATTGAAAATTCACAGCATACAAAAATTAAAAAGCAATTAAACCATCATAAACTTTGATACCAGCTAACACAAATTTAAAAAACAGCAAGAAGAAATAAAAATCCAGCACATTACACAAGGGCTGTCTCCCATGAAAATCAATTCTCAAAAGCTTGCCAGAATAAAAAGGGTTTAACTGTTTACAGAAAGATAATAAGGCCAGTTTAGTCTCCCTGGGAAGGAAGTTCCAGAACCTTGGTGCAGCCACTGATAAAGCCCTCTCCCATGTTCCTAAATGTATCTGTGAAGGAGGTGGGACAGAGAGAAGGGCATCCCCAGCAGATCTCAATAATAATAATAATAAGAAGAAGAAGAAGAAGAAGAAGAAGAAGAAGTAGGTTTGTACAGGAGAGTATTGCAATAATCTGGACCTGAATCATAAACATGTGCTTACAGTTTCTTATTCTTTATAGTTTGTTTCAACAGATCACCTCGGATATACTTCTCATCTAAATCTTTGGCTACTTGGGCCTTTAATCTTACCCACCAGAATCACCTCTATTTTTACATCCAAACCCTCACATTCCAACTGTTTTACATACTTCCCATTCAACCATCACTTTCTACAATGAATTAGCAACCAGCATATTCTGCCACACACCCTCCATCTCTGCTCTAATATCTTATTTATTCCAAAATTCCAATTTATAATACATTTGACCATAATCACTCTATAAAACAAACCCGTATGAGCATGTAAAACAGTCAAATACTATAAACATTTCTGAACATTCTCTTTCCAACAGTGGCTAGCCAAGTAACTCTGCAAACAGCATGTAATTGGATGGCCTTCTTCTGTTATTTGATTCCAGCACCACTGAACAGGGCACTCTATTTTATTAGGGTATCTAAGAGCTGATAGTAGGCATATTGTTCATGGGTTGTTCCTCCATCAAGGCTTGCAGCTTATACCACATCTTGGAATAATGATATAGAGCGTTGGACAAACAATACATTTCCCAGGTGGTTTTACAATGGGCAAAATATTTGGTTATATGTGTTATATTAATAGCTGGTTTTTCAGATGTACGGTATTTTTAAAACAGGCATTTAGTTGGGAGTGATCAGAGAAAAGATCTGTAGTCCTTTTACTGTTCTTTTAGTTGCTGGATAAATGACATGGACAATATTGTAGGCAATAAGCTTAGCGAATACATTTTTAAGGTCCAGGGAGTTCATCCAGAGGACCTGGGTGTGTGTGCTTACATTTAAGAGTCATAAGTTATCTTAGCACTGCTGTACAAACTTTCTAGACTGTATTGAGAGCAACAGAAAAGTCATATAGGGAAATCAACTGGCTATTTCAGTCAGTTTGGCTACAGGCAAGGCATGACTGATAACTAATTTTTTAAAATATAATTTTAAAGTTAAAAATGTTTACAAGCAGTAGAAGAATGTAAGACTCAAGGGCCTAAATCCTGTTGTTTTTCCCAATTAGAGTAGAACCAATGAATCAACTGGATTGGCTGATCTGTTAACCTATTTAAGAACTGATTGAATGGGTCTCCTCTAGTTAGACTAACCAACAAGATTTTTGCCAAGGTCTTTTCAGTTGTGGCATCTGCCCTATACAATACCTTCCTCAGGAATGTTTATTACTGAAAATGTAAAAGAATTTTACAAACCAATGTTGGGGATGTCAAGATAAGGAGAGCTCCTTTTTCCATAAGTGGTGGACTTGTAAGAAGGTGAAAAGTTATTGGTCCAAGATTTATATGTTAAACCAAAGAATCTTAAAGGTAGATTTTGCAATGTCACCAGAAATGTTTCTGTTGGATATTATGGATAAAGAACTGGATAGTAAACATGGATTACTTGTTCACTATGCAAGAACATTGTTTGATCAAACTTGGAAACAAACTGAAGCACTGATGACTGTTAAAATTGCTGAATAAACCCAAATTGCCAAATTAACATGGATTTTAAAGGATAAGCCAACTGAAGGTTTTTTGAGAGTCTGGAAACTGTTTATGGAGTTTTTGAGTAAAAATACATCTAATGATGTAATAATTTGTGGTTATGGTTATTAGTAATTGTGGTAGTATTATTTACTTGGTTCTGTAGTGGTATAGAATAATATGTGGTTTTTTTATTTATCTTTTCATTACAGTTATCATGGAAGGTGGAGAGCCCTATTGTGGTGGTGTTATTTTTAATCTCTTCTCTTCTTCTCCCCCTTTTCCCCCTCTTTCATTCTGTTTCACTTTGTCTTTTTTAATTTTTCTGTCTCTTCACTAAATGTATATTATCTTGGTTTTGATTGTAAATTAGACTGCTAGTGTTAAATTAATAAGTAAATAATTTATAGGAATCTATTAGTTGAGAGCCAGTGTGGCATACTGGTTAGGGTGTTGGACTAGGACTCTGGAGACCAAGGTTCAAATCCCGGCTCAGCCAAAGAAACCTACTGGATGGCCTTAGTCAAGTCCAACTCTGTCAGCCTCAGAGGAAGACATCACTGAAGAAATCTTGCCAAGAAAACCTGGTGGTAGGTTTGCCTTAGGGTCAGCATAAGTCAGAAATTACTTGAAGGCACACCATCACCACCATTTTTATTACTTAGTTAATTTTAATTTTTTTTGTAAAGTACCGTATATACTCAACTATAGGCCGACCTCATGTATAAGGCAGATTTTGGGGTCGAAAGTATGGATTTTTGTATGACTTGTGGCTAGGTCGAGAGTAAAACTTAGGGTCATGTAGCAAAGATTCTAAAGAATGAAGCAAAGGAAAACAAAGCCAAATAAGTTAGAAAATTCAAGCAGACATAATTGTGCTCACACTAAAGGCTGGATGAATGAGATAACAAAGCAGGATCAGTGCTTCCAGGACAGATTACACTCTTGCCTTTCACCAAGGGATGGTTCCCTTTTTTATAAGAGCTAAAGTACAGTACTTACATGGACTCGTGGATAAGTCGATCCAGGTTTTGAGGGTCAACTTTTTTGATTAAAATTTTTAGAGTTATACATGAGTATATACAGTATTACTTTTTAAGAATAATGTGGGGATTATTAGTCTGCGTGACTGCTGGATATTTATTACTCCTGCTGCTCTAGCTCCCCTCCCAGTAGATTATGGTATTGTGTTGCATTATATATTTACATTTGTTTTGGCTGTTACTGTGAAATTGTCTTAACTGCTTTATCGTTCAGAGTCTTGGATTTATTTTTTGGGGGAAACCCAAAATCCAAAATGAGAACCAGCATGGTGTGCTGGCGTAGATGTTGGACTAGGATGTTGGGAGACTAGGGTTCAAATTCTCACTCGGTCATGGGAAGCCACTGGGTGATACTGGTCTAGTCACAATCACTGAGGCTTAGAGAAAAGCATACCTCTTTTGAATAACTTTTGCCAAGAGAAACCCAAGAAAAGGTTCACCTTAGGGTCACCATAAGTTGGAATTGACTTGGAGGCACATAACAACAACAAATACATTCATTAGACTATCATCCTCCCCATAAACATGAATTCAAGCTTTTCAAATTACCAGAAAAGAAGATGGAAGGGGGAAGAGAAAATATCTTTCCTCTATTCCCACCTCCCCACCCCAGCCTATTCCAACACTCTGCATGATGAAGGGATCTAGTGATTTGAAAAACTTGCATGAAATTTTGTGACTTGTTGCAATTGGCCTAACAAAGGTATTACCTGAATACTGGATTTAGTTTTTATTTTCTATCCAACATGGTTACATTAGTGGTCTTTATTACTGCTTGAAAGGTAGAATCTTTCAATAAATAAATGACAAATATGTTGCGACAGTTAAAGGAAGTACAGTATTATATTTTCCCCTCTTACATTGTCTAGTTGAGGTATAAAAGATTATTTGGTGTCAAATCTAGGTAGGATTGACATAACATAAATAAGAATTATAACCATCATATGTATATACTGGGTAGGAAATTCAACCTCCTTCCTATTTGAATTTGACTGTTATGCTTTAAAATTATGTCCCACATAGAAACATACTCTCTCTCTCTCTCTCTCTCTCTCTCTCTATATATATATATATATATATATGTCTCTGGGTCAAATGAGCAAGCAGTCTCAACATATTCTCTGTTTATTCTACCTCTACCCCATCCTGGAACGAATGACCTAGAGATGAACTAGCCTCATCCAGTGAACACCACTAAAAAATCACAATGTATTCAGATGTCAGTAACAACAACTCCCAACTGTGCACACAATGCTTAAATGTAAAATCAGTACAAAATAGAATTTTACAATATTTTTGCATTGTTGGGAAGTGTTAGGGTACTAGGTCCACAGGAATGTTTCCTTTGTCTCTAGGGATATACCGTAATAGGAACCATAATCTCATTTATTCCAGTGTAATGTAATATATCAGATAACCTTCTCCATTTGTTCCAGGGCCACTGAGTCAGAACAGGCCTGGTTTATCAGCTGTGAGTAAGGGAAGGCAGAAATAGTTCCATTCTGTCTGCCAGCAATTTAGCTGAGATCTTAAGGCTGGCATTCATAACTGTATTGAACAAGAAAAACATCCACAGCTCATAACATCTTAACAACATAAGGAAGGAGGCACATGAGACATTATGTAGAACCTCTGTGGATTTTTTTTTATATATTGTAAAAAGCTGCTTTCTAGAATAATAATTCATATGCATTTATAAATTATCGTACCTAATATTTTTCGCTCTTATGGATGAAGTGCTTTAGAAGGACTGAATCAATCAACTAGTTCAGCATATATTTTAGCCTCTCATGAAACCCAGAATATAAACCTTAGAGTGTTGGACTATGACTCTGGAGACCAGGGTTTGAATCTTAACTCAACCATGGAAATCCACTGGGTGACTTTGCATGCTCTCTCTCAGCCTTAGAGGAAGTCAAAAGCAAAACCTTCTGAACAAATTGTACCAAGAAAATCCTGTGACAGGGTTGCCTTACCGTTGCCCTACATTGGAAATGACTTGATGGCATACAACAAAAAACTCAGCAAATATTGTTAAAAATTGTATTTTGACCTCTGCATGGGGTTTAGGGGAGCATGCTGGAGAGTGATACACATTTTATCCTTGCAAGTACCCTATGAAGTAAGTTAGACACAATAGCTAAGCAGGCCCAGGAATGCTATGTATCCTACTGGCCATGCTTGTTGGAGGACTCTAGGAGTTGTCATGCAAAAAAGTAAAGTTTCTGACATTTGCTCATAAACAACACAAGGTGTGTCTACCTGGGCCAAATAAAACAGTCTTACCTAGTTTCACAGTGAGCTATCCAAATGATGTACAAATGATGACTGGGGATGAATCCAGGCCTTTTCATCTCCCCGGGCTTTAATCTGGATAAAAAGTGGGGATTTACCCAAGTTTTGAGCAGAAAATCCAGATGTGTGTGTGTCTCTCTCTCTGTGTGGACCATGCTCGATAACAATGTTGGTGTAAGGTTGGAGGAAGTAGTTCAGAAATATGTATATGGAGTGGACAGAGAAAAAAAGTGACCATGGCTGTGTGGCTGCACATTCTGCTACTTATTGGACTGGGGTGTGTTCAAAAAGGGGAATTGTGTAGACAGTAATCCCGAATTTACCTGTGGTCACTGTGGATTGGTGTACCCCAAAAGTGAGCTGGATCTTTCTGTCAGTGTAGATGCGCCCTCAGTTGTGTCTGTTAGATGGTTTGTTTTATTTTAAGTGGCATACTTTGTGCAACTGCAGTTGATGCTTAATGTCTCATGTTCAAAACGTCACCAGGGGCTGCCCCTTGCAATATCATCCTTGCAACTTCACTGTCCTGTGACACCACACCAAGGAATTCATAAGATCCATAGATCTCAGAGGGCAGAGGGAGAGCAGAGGGAATAATCTTCCAATTTGGGTCCCCATCCCAGGTAGGTACTTAAACTCAGTACATACATTCTAGGGTTTCTATACTTAAAGCAGTAATTTTGTTTGCTCTTCCTCATTAATAACTTTTGTCCTCTTCATGCCTACCTACATCCATTTTCACCACACTCATCCATTTTTATTTTTATTTTATTTTTTATTAAAGTATACAAATACACATTCAAACATACATGTATGCATACATAAAAACAAACTATGACCAACAATCATAATCTACAATCTACTATATGTCCTCCAATATATCAAATATTTGATTTCAAATACAAAAAGTAAATTTTAAACCCGAATCTTCCATCTGCAATCTATTCTGTACTAATTCTTCCATTCATTACAAACATACTTTCATTCCATACACATAGTAATCGTAATTAGTATTTGCTCTTCTTTCAAAAAAGATATCAGATGATTTATTTTTAAAATTTCTTAAGTTTCTTTCTGGTTCTTACTTCCTTATGTGGACCTACAACACTTGTTTCCTTTATCTTTACTGTTAATACACCCGTTTTTAATATCAGGATTACACCGTGAATTGAAATATTTTCCAACCTTTTTTTCTTCCTAATAATTCAAGTTCTCTCCATTCGTCTTCTGAGTCTTTGTTTTTTAATTCTGCGGTACGTTTGTCCATAGCAACTGCTTCCAGTAATTTAAGAAGCCATTCTGCCTCTGTAGATGTGTATTTTTGCTTCCAGTTTTGTGCATCCATGTTGCGCATCCAGACATCCCAGTTTTCATCTGTGAGATGCTGGAGGGCATGGCATAACCCTGACCTAAGAATCCTAACCCAAACATAGTTATTGTGTCTAAATACTACATCATGGGCACATGCACCATCTGCCCTCCCTTTCAACCCAATATTTCCCCCCCTGGGTACAACCATCTTACACAACATGATCTCACTACGACATGAGGGAAGGAGGCAGATACATCCCCTGACCCCAATATATATTCCATAAATTATATATATCCTTTCTCTGGAAGAAATACAAATAAATCTCATGTTCAGGTCCAGAGAGCATGTAGAACAGGGAGACCATCTTAAATGTAAGAATGGGGGAATCATTTTCTCACTTTTTCCAGCCTTGGAGTAGTCTGTTTAACCTATTGCCATTTCCCTTAAGTGACTGTAGCTTTGCAGGGACTTTTCTAGCCCTTTTAACGTCAGGTCCTTTAGCTGGAAAGGCCACAGTCTGAGTCACTGGCATTTTATATGCAAAGCATGGAGCTGCCTCTGAGCTATGGCCCTTCCCCACAGAGTACACACACTTTACTATATCAGCCAGCCCTGTGTTATATTTAGAACAGAGATGACTGGTGATATTTATGACTAGGCAGACAAAAGGGAGATTAAATTTTGTTTTGAGCCATAGAAAGAAAAATCCTGCATTTTCTGCATTAGAAGAACTCAAGGAAAAACAATATTTTTTTAAAAAGTCTGTAGCAATGCATTCTCATGAACAAACTAGATGCTCTCACAGCAGCCCAATTTATTTAGGTATGGACCTACCATAACCATATGTAA